TTTTGAGCCACCTTTGGCAAAGTAGAAAGGAACGATTGGCCATCGGTGATCGGTCCTGTGGGAACAATGCTCCGTCCTCTCGAGGACGCGTGGTCAATGGTCTAACCGCTAAGACATGCAAAACATAAGAGTACGCCCCCCCCCGATGGAAAATTTCTGCTACCTGGTGTCTGTCGCATCCTGCCACGTTTGTTTACAAAAGAAGCCCGTCAGGCTTCTGATACCCGTCCCAGCGCCTGAATTTCTCTTGATTTCATGCTCGAGAATCCCGATGCTTCAACTGTCAGAGATATTACCCGGTTGTTCGAGGCCACCTCCTCATGTTCGACCCGGAGACCTGGAATCGGAAGACCAACGCATCGGCGTTCGTCTGACCCCTCCCCGAGACCTGCCGCGTAGACCAGAATGTCCAGCACACATCCTGTGCCTTCAAAAGTCGAACCATTCCTCGTGCGATATTCGTGTGCAGGTTTCTGGGCCTGTAGCCGTATGTCACATCCACCGACGGAGGGGCGTGCTCTGGCGGGACATGCTTCAGTCTCGAATCGACCCGAAGGCGGGGTTTGGAGAGTACCTCATTTCCCAGGGCCTGGCGAGACTGCGCGAGGAACAGTGGTGGGCCGCGGCGGACCGCAACGGCCTCACCCCTGCCCCGGCAGTGGTAACAGCAGCAGCAAGACCAACGTCTGCCGTGAGCGCTCAAACGCATCGCCATCGGACCGGCGCTGCAAGCACGGGTGAGGGCGGGGACGATTCCGAGCAGCCGTTCCCCGCCCTCAAGCGCCTCCTGGAGGACCGCGAGATACTCGTTGCGGCTGAGGGAGACGCAAAGCGGGCGAGTAGAGGACTTTGGGATTTGCCGCAGCGTGGGGGAGAGGGTGGTGGAAGAGACAGCGCAGCGGCGGGCAGGGCGAAGAGTTTGATCGAAGGGGTGGCGGGCATTGCACGCGTATTAACGGGTTTGTTTGGCCGGTGGCGATAACGAGTCGTGATGGCCTAGCCCGTTGGCTTCAAGGCGCTGAACAACTCGTGCGAATTATGCGCCTATGCATCGCAACGGTACTTGCAAACCCATTTTGTTTTTTTTTCACAGAGAACGAAGCCGTCAGGGCTCAGTTAGGAATTTGTCCCTGCGGGTGGTTGAGCAGCTACGAATCGGTACCACGTGCTTTCGCTCCAATGCTCATTCTGCAATTGGCACGGTTGATGCAATGACGAGGGATTTCCTTACGTGGGTGCTGGTTACGAGAGGGTCGTTTTTTTGTTGCTTGGGTATGATGAAACAAGACGTCGCGGCGATTGCGTTTGGTGTTCTGTAGGTCCCGACTGCAAGTACATTGTACAGTAGTTCATGCAGCCGAGTATATTCCCGACGGTGTTGAACTCAGCGAACGCGAGTGGGGGCAATAAGCCCTGTGCTGTGCACGTACATATGCATCGACGCCAACGAGAAAAAGAACGATTTGTTGGGCAACGCGGCGAACAAATTTTTATGTGCTGTTTTGTATGATCGGGTTCTTGATGTCCTCGGACGCATCCATTGCGGATTTACCCTACCTGCAGGTAGTTTACTGTTGCATGGTGTTGCGTTTGCCATACCGCGTGAGTCCGATGACCAACGGAAGGGCGCCGTTGTCCACGAGTATTCATTCAGAAATGCGACCCTGTGTACCCCCTTCAGGTTATCTCGAGGGCTTTCGTTCTGTGACAACTTTCTGCAGTAATTTTTGTACACGTTATACGCATACCTTGCGTACGTGTTTGCTACACCTACGGGTAGAGTACTCCTGGCGCGGGAGCAGAGGCCACCTTGGCACTTGCCTTTTCTTTTTCATTAGCGTCTCATTGAAGTCCACTCCTGCGTCAAGATTAATTGAAAGGTCGAACTTCCCGGATGGGGAAACTCTTGCCGACAATGTATTGAGCTCAGACGATCGGCGTGTGTATTGACCCTTCGTTTGGCACCTGTTTGCGCCCCTTCGAGAATAAGAAACAAGGAGGAAACAGTGATATTCCGTAAGACTTACTTCACGGCTGCCGCGGTGCTACGAGCAGGCCCACAGACGCACGATCAACGATGGTGATACATGATACATGTGCACAGGCGACCTAATTGGTACGAGCGGCGAGACGTTTGCCACTCTCGATTGCCTGCATGCTGTTGTTGTTGTTGTTGTTGTTGTTGTTGTTGTTGTTGTTGTCTTCACATTAAAAACCATCCCGGTCTCTCTATCCAGTACCTCCTTCTGTCTCAATCTCTCCGTACTAATCCATCACTTGACTCGGCCAATTTCCGTGGTCACAGGCTAACGTACCTAGAAAAGGTATACCAAAATAAAATGGACCCCAAGGGTCAGCAGAGCGATAAAATACAAGAAAACAAAATATAATCAGAAACAAATAAAATAAAATAAAATAAATAATTAGACTAGTGGAACGGCCGCACCACCAGCCTGGGGGGGTAGCCTCCCACTACATGGAGGCAGGTCGACGGCCAAAGGAAGGGGCGGGGGTACGTGCCAGTAAAAAACAAAACAAAAGACAAAATAAAACAGAATAAAGCAAAGACGAGGACACAAACAAACTCGCAGAGACAGGGATATCCCTAGAGACAGTCTGAACGCGACAGCAAACGGGGGAGAGGGCAACAAAAAAATTAGTCGTTGAAATTCGACCGCAACATGTACATACTGTAAATAAAGGACAGTGAAGTCAGGACGAAAACTAGCTAGATAGACACGCATGATCGCTTGGAGCTGAGCGACTTGAACAGCCCCCGTCGTTCGAAGCACAGCGTGTCTTTTTTCTGCAGGCGATGTTGACAAACAGCTGCAATTCAGCAATATTTCGGGGTTTCCCCGCCTTTCACCAGTTCATTTTTACCAGTTCGGCACGAACTGGCGAAAAATTTCAGGGTACTCGTCGGTACCGATTTTTTTGGCGGTACCAATTTTGGCGGTACTGCAATACGGCGGGAATTTTTAGGCGGGAAGCGGTTTTCGTTTTTTTGGCGGGACCACTTTTGGCGGTTCCCGGTACCGCATTTTTTGGCGGTACTCTCGTCGGCGGTTCGCAGTTTGGCGGGAACGCCTTCGGCGGTTCCCGGTACCGCATTTTTTGGCGGTACTCTCGTCGGCGGTTCGCAGTATGGCGGGACCGCCTTCGGCGGTTTACAATGTGGCGGTACTGCCTCCGGCGGTTCCCGGTTTTACGAAATTCGGCGGTACTGGGTAAGCTTACCACGCCGTCGCCGGAAATGGCGGTACTTTCGTACTTTCGGCCCTTACGTCTATATTTGCACTATATCCTGCTATTGTTGTATATTGTATACTTGTATATATGTATATATGCACATTTTTGTGGCGGCTGAACGAGCGGCAAGCCGTTTCTCTGTCGTCTCTCTTCTCTTAAAAAAGCAGCAACAGAACGGAAAAAACAAAAAATAAAAAATGAAAAACAAAAAACAAGAAAAAAGAAAAAAGAAAAAAGGCTGGAAAAGAAAAGAGAAAAGAAGACAGAAAAAAAAACAGGCGGTGTGAGGATCGAACTCTAGTCCATTGGGTGTATACTGTACTGCTGTATACGTTTGGAAAGCCCTAGTGGTACATAACCCCAGGCGGAATTAGCGTACGGCGGTACCATTTAGGCGGTACTGCACTATGCCGGTACCATTTTGGCGGTACTGCAATATGCCGGTACCATTTTGGCGGTACTGCAATATGCCGGTACT